TCAGAATCATTTACCCTAACACAGTTCCCAGCAGCCACATTTCCATCCGAAGAAATCCTGACCCTCTTCGAAGGCAACACATTTGCATCATTCCCCTCTACTCTCGTGTTTCGAGCATTAGAGCAGCTCCCCTTAAACCTCATACTACAACCACTCACAGAAACTCCATCATTACAACCGTCCCTATTTGATGCTAATCCGCTCTTTCGTATCAAGAAATCAGCATACGGATGCGTACCGTCAAGAATCGAATCTTTGATCTGCCCCAAAAGACATTTCGGCATAGAAGCCCGTTTGTGCAAAATAAAAGCCTGAACATCCCATTTCAACAGCCCCGGCCCGCCCGTTTTCACATCGCATTCCGGCGTCTGCACAAAAACACAGATTCCAACTTCACACTCAACAATTAAACATACAAAACCCCCAGAATGCCAACAATCCTCATACAAATTCTTACAACTAAAAAAAAAAATCCAACTTTAAACTTAATATCTAAACATACAAAAAACCCAGAAAAATTTGAACTAATTACACAAAAAAAGTTGGGTTTTCAAATCATACCTCATTGATAATGCGCTGCAGAACATCTTCGCATCTTTCCGAAAAATCAAAGCTGAATTTCGAACTTGGGGTTGAAGAAGAAGCGGAGGCCGAGGGCAGAAGAGCAAGAACATCGTTGCGAGGAGGAAACAAGTCCTCCAAAGTTCTCAGAGCGACCCTTTCGCTCACTTTCCTCTCCAAATCATCGGGTAAATCGGGAGCCATTTCGATCAAATCGTGCAAAAGCGGCAACCCAACCTCTTTGAATCCCGCCAGTGCTTCCAGCAGCCAGCCCCACGCGGTGGCCGCTTCTTTCTTCGTCATCTCGTCCATGGGTCGTCGGCGCAATTGCAGAGACGACGGTGGTCCGTCGAAGGAGGGAGGAGAGTGATCGGTTTTTTTGCTTTGGTGTCAGTTTTCTATTTATTTATTTATTCATGTGATTTAATACTGGGCGGGTTGGGTCGGGTCTTATGTTCTTGTGGGCTTTTAAGTTGAAATATTTTGGGCTACAACCAGTTGCTCGACCCGGTTAGGATTAGAGTGCAATTTTATCTTCAGTATTTATGCTCATGAATTTTCTTTAGTGCACATATTAAGTTATACATTTGAATAAAAGTCATTAGATAGATTTTGTTACGTTAAATGATCTAACGGTCTTACTTAGAAATGTAACTTAAATATACACTTTTAAAATTTGATTGTTGAATTCGATTTTACAATTCTTAGTTATTTAGTTTAAGTCAATAGATCAAATTCAACGGAAAAAAAAAATGTACTGCTCTTTGTGCCTTGGTACTCAAGAAAAATCGGTTAGTGTGGCTAATGAAAAATATGTTCAAATTTATCAATGCTCATGCTTTGATTTGCCACTACAATTTCAATTTGATTTTGAACCACCTAATATATTATAATGTGTCAATTTAACCCTATCGACAAATTTATCAATTTTGTCGTCAAGTTGAGGGTTATTTTTATAGAACACTTTTGGTTTTGGTCAATCATGTATTCAATCTCATACTGGTTCTTGACCAAAAATAAATACAAGAAAACTTCTATATATAGTCATTAGAGAAATGCCAAGTAGAATCTCTTAAAGTGTGACTCTTCATAGACTGTTTGCCGCTCAAAGTTTAACGTTGATTTTCATGCCAACATTATATAACATTGTTCTAAAAATATGAGATGACATAAAGTCTTTGAAGCTTTATTTTCCTTTGTTTGTTCCAGAGAACAATTTGCAGACATTTTCACTAAAGGACTAACTGCTCCTTTGTTCCATACTCATTGCTCAAACCTCATACTGGTTCATCCAAACATGAGTTTGCGTGGACATGTTAGGATAATTGTATGGACTAGATTGTGCCACTTATACACAGTTTATGTGCCAAAGAGGAAGTTGCACTTACACCCGTCTTAGCTAATTGACAATCCGAATCTTTATTAGTTTTTTATACTTAATTAGCTACTGATGACAGATAAATTGGGGATTTGCGTCATCAAATCAAAAACAACATGCGTCGTTACGATTAATCAGATACTTTGCTGGTGCTTGAGATCTTTTTAATTATATTTTATCCGATAACGTTGCTCAATTATTAACACTTCAACCCTAAACCCTAGTTCGTTGACACACACGCATCGTATACTGTATATAACTCTTTTCTTTCTACGCAACAAACCTATATGAACACAAGGGAGTTGGGTGCACTCAGTTATATTGATAGAAAGAGGAAAGAAAACAGTCCAAATCGGATTATAGAGCAGGTTTGGCTGGGGTTTTCTTATAGTAAACAGTCCAAATCGGAAAACAGTCCAAACAGTCCAAAAGTGCGAATTTCTAAAGTCATTGGCCGATTACGTCCTTAGGGTTTGGCTTGGGTTTTTCCTAGAAGAACTGACTTACGGTCTGAGAAAACCTTTAGATTTTTCGGATTTATATAGCACTACTACAAAAGGACCCTATAGTGTCAGTTGTTGCGTCGGTTTAATATCATATAGTGGCGCACAAGAGAGTTGCGACACCCACTGAATATGACGTCGGATTTAGAAAGTCTGCGTCGCTTCTATATGCGACACGCATACTTAATGTCGCTTATAACCGACACACGTTTTAATAATTTTAAATACTGGCGTCGCTTTTAATAAAACAGTGTCGCTTTTAAGCGACATTAAGTATGCGTGTCGCATATAGAAGCGACACTAATTGATTTTTTTATATATTTTAAATCCTACGTCGGTTCTGAGCGACATATATTTTATTTTTTTAAATATTTTGAAACCCAGTGTCGGTTGTAAGCGACAGATTGATCGTCTTTATATTCACTCACCCGTGTTCATCTTTTCCTCTTGCATTTATCTCATTCTCACGGTTCACAAACCTTCTCTCTCTCACCTTCCGAGTTCTTCCAAGTTCATTCTTCACATTCCGAGTTCTTCCAAGTTCATTCTTCACAAAGGTAAATTTTTCTTGCTTGTAGTATTTTTATTTTCTCCTCTTATGTTTAATATTTTTGATACAATTTATTGTTGTAGGGAATTTATTTGAGCTGGTTGAGTATATAAAGAATTGATCGACGACGGAATTCTTCTATAATTCAGGTTTCTATCACTAAATTCTTTAATTTTTAAATTGTATAATACACAAGTTTATTTATTTAAAAATTGTAATTTAAGTAGTTAGATAAATTTCTATTATTTTTTGTTAAATTACTTCATATTTAGGCGAAATAATTAATTTTGTCACTTGAATTGTTATGAGAAAATAGAATGAATATTATCTATAAGCATTTATGTTAAATTAACAACATTAAATATAACTTAAACTTATAATATTGAGTAATTTAAGAATATATTATGTTAAATTAATTTTTTTTTTCACTCTAATTGTTATTTTAATTTGTTGTTATTTTGATAATTTTTTGTTGTTATTTACTAGAATGGATTAGATGAGAATAATTTTGAATTGTTATGAGAAAATGGAATGAATATTATTTATATGCATTTATGTTAAATTAACAATATTAAATATAACATAAACTTATAATATTGAGTAATGTAAGAATATATTATGTTAAATTAATTTTGTTCGCACTTTAATTGTTACTTTAATTTGTTGTTATTTTGATAATTTTTTGTTGTTATTTACTAGAATGGATTAGATGAGAATAATTTGAATTGTTATGAGAAAATGGAATGAATAATAATTATAAGCATTTATGTTAAATTAACAATCTTAAATATAACATAAAATTATAATATTTAGTTATATAAGAATATATTATATTTAAATTAATTTTTTTTTGCAATTTGAATTGTTATGAGAAAATGGAATGAATAATATTTATAAGCATTTATGTTAAATTAACAATATTAAATATAACATAAACTTATAATATTTAGTAATGTAAAAATATATTATGTTAAATTAAATTTTTTTTTTTTGCAATTTGAATGGTTATGAGAAAATGAAATGAATAAATATTTATAAGCATGTATGTTAAATTAACAATATTAATATAACATAAACTTATCATTTTTAGTAATATAAGAATATATTATGTTAAATTAATTTTTTTTACAATTTGAATTGTTATGAGAAAATGGAATGAATAATTTAAATAAGCATTTATGTTAAATTAACAATATTAAATATAACTTTTGCACTATAATTGTTATTTTAATTTATTGTTATTTTGTTAACTTTTGGTTGTTATTTACTAGAATGGATTAGATGAGCATAATTTTGATAACTTTTTGTTGTTATTTTAATTTGTTTTTACTACAATAGGTGTTGAAAATTAAAAGATTGCAATCGTGATCGTGATAGAGTTCGAGGGTTGAAAGATAGAAATTGAAAATTCTAATAGTTATGCCTACATGATAGGGATTGCAAGATTGTAGGCATCTTAGTGTCAGCGTAATATTTTACCCTCGTAAACTGGTAAAACATGGACAAGAGTTGGTTGACGATACCTCGAAATTTTGAAGCGTATACAGCTGGAATTAATTTGTTTTTGGATCAAGCAGTTGCAAATGGTGTTGGTCCTGATAAGTTTAGATGTCCTTGCAAAAGATGTTGTAATCGATATACTTTTGTTAGGAACACTATTATTGAACATCTCATATTGTATGATATGGATAAAGATTATAAAAATGCTTGCTGGCGACATCATGGCGAGCAAAACATTGGAGAGCAAAATGTGGCAATTGGAGAAGAAGAAACAGGAGATGAGGTGATTGGTATGCATGACTTTCTTAATGATGTATTTGTCCAACCATTAACAGAAGAAGGTGTTGGGCCGTCTACTGAACCGTCTATTGGGGAAGGGTGTCCAGAAGAGGCGGAGACTTTTTTTAGGTTGCTTGAAGAGGCAGATCAAGATTTGTGGCCAGGGTGTAAGGAGTTTAAGAAATTAGAAGCAGTTGTAAGGCTGTATCAGATCAAGTGTTTAGCGGGAATGCCAGACGACATCTTCACAACTTTACTGGAGTTAATTAAAAGAATGTTGCCTGAAGGGGATTGTTTGCCTGAATCATGTTATAAGGCAAAAAAACTTATAAATGACTTGGGTCTGACGTATGTGAAAATTGATGCATGTCCCAATGATTGCATGATCTATTGGAAAGATACTTCGGATTTGACCGTGTGCTCGGTTTGTGGTGAATCAAGATATAAAGTTACCAACGCAGCGGATAGGTCGAGAAAAAAGATCGCAGCTAAGGTTATGTGGTATTTTCCTTTAAAACCAAGATTGCAACGATTTTTTATGTCGAAGCATACGGCTGAACATATGAGGTGGCATGCAATTGAATGTCCTAAAGATGAGTTTATGAGACATCCTTCAGATTCTCCAGCATGGAAGCATTTGGATAATTTATATCCGGATTTTGCGTCAGAAATTCGAAATGTTCGATTAGGGTTGGCCAGTGATGGATTTAATCCTTTTGGAAAAATGAGGAATGATCATAGCACATGGCCGGTGGTGCTTTCTGTTTACAATTTGCCGCCTTGGATGTGCATGAAGCAACCAAATTTGTTGTTGTCTCTTTTAATACCAGGACCGCGCAGTCCTGGTAAAGAGATTGATGTATACATGCGTCCACTGATTGACGAGTTGAATGAGTTGTGGGAGGTGGGCACTCCAACTTATGATGCGTATTCCAACCAAAGTTTTATGATGAAGGCTGTTGTCTTATGGACTATAAGTGATTTTCCGGCTTATGGAATGTTGTCAGGATGGAGTACACATGGCTATAAAGCATGTCCACATTGCATGCATGATAAAGAATCTATTTACTTGCCGGCGAGTCGTAAAATTTGTTATATGGGCCATCGACGGTTTCTTGAAGATAATCATAGGTTTCGAAGGCAAACCACAGCTTTTAATGGTCGTCGTGAGCATCGTAGTGCACCAAGGCAGTGGACTGGTTTACAATGTCTTGAAGAACTTTGTACATTGAGATTTACTTTTGGAAAACCAAAAGAAAAATGCTTCAGTCGGGCAACGCAGAAAAAGAACTTCGAGCAGTACAAGTGGTAACAGTCAGTGGAAGAAAGAAATCTATTTTTTATGAACTACCTTATTGGAGGCATCTGTTGATTAGACACAATCTTGATGTTATGCATATCGAGAAGAATATATGTGACAGTCTGGTGGGAACATTGCTAGGTATAGAAAAGTCTAAAGATGGATTGGCTGCACGTGCAGATCTTGAAGTCTTGAACATAAGACGCAGTCAACACCCACGTAGAGAAGGAAATAGAACATTTCTACCTCCAGCTTTGTTCACGTTGAAAAGAGAAGAAAAAACTGCGTTTTGCAATGTGTTGTCTACTATTCGGGTCCCCGATGGATATTCATCAAATTTATCGCGATGTGTGCACGTGAATGAACGAAAAATACATGGGTTGAAAAGTCATGATTGCCATGTTTTAATGCAGCAGTTACTCCCGCTTGCAATACGCCCGGTTTTGCCTAAAGCTGTTACTATGGTATTATTAGAGTTGAGTGCAATTTTCAGACAGTTGTGTAATAAGAAGGAGTCTGAGGAAGGATTCAAGGAACTGAGTTCAAGAATTGCCTTGACATTATGTCAACTTGAAAAAATATTTCCTCCTGCATTTTTTGATATAATGGTGCACCTTCCAGTTCACTTGGCAGATGAAGCAGCTCTTGCAGGGCCTGTTCCCTATAGATGGATGTATCCAATTGAACGGTAATTAATAATTTTTTATAAATTTTTTACAATTGTAGTCATAACTTTAATTTATAATTATTACAATTGTAGTCATAACTTTAATTTATAATTATAGGTATTTGCAAACGTTGAAGCGCAATGTTCGTAATAAAGGTCGTCCTGAAGGTTCTATGGCTGAAGCAAATTTGGTGGATGAGTGCTTGTCCTTCTGTTCCATGTATCTTAGAGGTGTCGAGTCTCGTCGTAACCGTAGAGGCCGAAATGAAGATGGTATTGGACGTGGAGTGTCTGGTGGGTTATCAATTTTTGACTCCAAAGGATGTTATATGGGTTCAGGAGAACATGTGGAGCTCGATCTAAATACTCTTGATCAGTGCCATAGATATATTCTAAATAATTGTGATGAAGTGAACCCATTTAGAAGGTAATAACGTTTAATCACACGTTTTAATGTTTTATTGATTTTCTTAACTTTGAAAAATTAATTATCTAAATTTCGACATAATTGTGTAGCCAACATGAGGAATTCTTGAAAACTAAACATCGTCGAGAAAGGTTAACTATGCGCCAAATTAAGGAGCTAAGCAAGAAAGAATTTCCAGAATGGTTCAAGCAACATGTGAGTTGATATAACAATCACATTATTTATTTATTGTTTTGCATTTTAATTATAACATGTTATAGTTATTCTGTCAATTTTTATCTTCATACTTATTACAGATGAATTCAAGCTATCATGCTAATGACACGTTGATATCTGAAGACTTGCATTGGCTAGCTAATTATCCTAGTAGGGTTGTGAGTAGATATAAAAAAGTCACATTGTTCATGGGTTTAGATTTCGTATAAAATCTGTGGATGATAAGCATAAGAATCAAAATTGTGGTGTCTTTTGTACCTGCAAATGTTCCTGGAGCAATTGGGCAAGTGAATTGTTATGGCAGAGTTGTTGATATGTTCGAGGTTAAATATTGTGGTCCTACTGAGGCGGAAGATAGGGGTCGAGCTGTGATGTTATTTAAGTGCGAATGGGTTAATAGTGAAAGTCCACGAGGAATGAAGACCGATCAATATGGATTTACTATGGTGAATTTCAATCAATTGGGATTTAAAGAGGATCCTTTCATACTAGCATCACAAGCATTACAAGCATTTTATGTGGAGGACACAATTGAAAAAGATTGGTACGTAGTTGTTCGAACTCAGCCGAGGGATTTGTTTGACGTACTAGAGGATAGTGATGCTATTGATGATTATGCCATACCGAATTTGGATGATCGAATTCTTGATAATGAAAATTTTCATACAAGGGTTGGCGTGGAAGAGACTCCTTTTCTTGAATCATTAGCGCTGCCTACCGAGTTCGTTAATCATGCCAATGTCGACGATGAGCTAACAGATGATGAAGGAGAATAAATATGTTAATTATTTTATGTATTAATTATCTTATCTTTCATTTCGTATGTTATGATATATTATTATCAAAATTATATTTCTGTTTTTTTTTTATTAAGTATTAAATATAAGTTAAACCTTTTATTTTTAATATTGGGTTATAATTTTTTTTTTTTTTTAGCTTGTTTCCTGTCGCTTTTAACCGACGTCGGTTTAATTAAAATATTTTGGGCGGCATTTTTCGCCCTTTTTTAATTCATTTGGCGTCGGTTTTAACCGACGCAATGAAAGCTTATTTCGACGCAATGTCATTTTAGCGTCGGTTTAAACCGACGCAAACTAAGATTATTTCGACGCAGACTGTCAGATTACGTCGGTTTGATCCGACGCAATATAAGCCTATTTCGACGCAATGTCAGTCTATTTCGACGCAAGTTAAAAACCTGTTGTGAATTATATGTATTAATGCGAAGAAAGGATGATTATTTATTCTTATTTAAAGTTCACGAAATTTTTTGAGCTGTTAATTACACTATTTTTCTTTTTATTTAACAATTTTATACTTCTAAAAAACTTTAACAATTTTATACACTAGTGGATATCCCAAAATCTTGTGTTATACTTAATGAAAGTATGAATAAACTGTTTAAGAGTTAGTGAATGTATCGTTTTGATGGAATACGAACTCTACGAAACTAATTTCAACGATCGAACCGTCAAACATGTTTGTGTATAGTTCGAGATCGCATACGCCAAAAATTAAAAAAAAAAAACTTTCTGAGACACAGTAACGGGAAAAACTTATTCGACGGTTATTAACGAAAAATCACGATGTAACGGTTATTTTAACTCCGATTTTTGATGATTTTTTATATGTACACTCCTTCACCCCTATATGAATACGGTGAATGAATGCGATCTTCAATTTGAAATATTTACACTAGTGGATATCCCAAAATCTTGTGTTATACTTAATAAAAGTATGAATAAACTGTTTAAGTGTTAGTGAATGTATCGTTTTGATGGAATACGAACTCTACGAAACTAATTTCAACGATCGAACCGTCAAACATGTTTGTGTATAGTTCGAGATCGCATACGCCAAAAATTAAAAAAAAAAAAAACTTTCTGAGACACAGTAACGGGAAAAACTTATTCGACGGTTATTAACGAAAAATCACGATGTAACGGTTATTTTAACTCCGATTTTGATGATTTTTTATATGTACACTCCTTCACCCTATATGAATACGGTGAATGAATGCGATCTTCAATTTGAAATATTTACACTAGTGGATATCCCAAAATCTTGTGTTATACTTAATGAAAGTATGAATAAACTGTTTAAGTGTTAGTGAATGTATCGTTTTGATGGAATACGAACTCTACGAAACTAATTTCAACGATCGAACCGTCAAACATGTTTGTGTGTATAGTTCGAGATCGCATACGCCAAAACTTAAAAAAAAAAAAAACTTTCTGAGACACAGTAACGGGAAAAAACTTATTCGACGGTTATTAACGAAAAATCACGATGTAACGGTTATTTTAACTCCGATTTTGATGATTTTTTATATGTACACTCCTTCACCCTATATGAATACGGTGAATGAATGCGATCTTCAATTTGAAATATTTACACTAGTGGATATCCCAAAATCTTGTGTTATACTTAATGAAAGTATGAATAAACTGTTTAAGTGTTAGTGAATGTATCGTTTTGATGGAATACGAACTCTACGAAACTAATTTCAACGATCGAACCGTCAAACATGTTTGTGTATAGTTCGAGATCGCATACGCCAAAAATTAAAAAAAAAAAACTTTCTGAGACACAGTAACGGGAAAAAACTTATTCGACGGTTATTAACGAAAAATCACGATGTAACGGTTATTTTAACTCCGATTTTGATGATTTTTTATATGTACACTCCTTCACCCTATATGAATATACGGTGAATGAATGCGATCTTCAATTTGAAATATTTACACTAGTGGATATCCCAAAATCTTGTGTTATACTTAATGAAAGTATGAATAAACTGTTTAAGTGTTAGTGAATGTATCGTTTTGATGGAATACGAACTCTACGAAACTAATTTCAACGATCGAACCGTCAAACATGTTTGTGTATAGTTCGAGATCGCATACGCCAAAAAAAAAAAAAAAAAAACTTTCTGAGACACAGTAACGGGAAAAACTTATTCGACGGTTATTAACGAAAAAAATCACGATGTAACGGTTATTTTAACTCCGATTTTGATGATTTTTATATTGTACACTCCTTCACCCTATATGAATACGGTGAATGAATGCGATCTTCAATTTGAAATATTTACACTAGTGGATATCCCAAAATCTTGTGTTATACTTAATGAAAGTATGAATAAACTGTTTAAGTGTTAGTGAATGTATCGTTTTAATACAACAAATTATTTGCATAAGAAAAATTCATTTTAAACGAATAATGATAAGTTAAGATAGAATATTTGTGGTGAATTTAGAATATTTATCATAATATTTTATGAACTAGTTGGTCAATTATTTACAATAAAAATCAAAAATTTAAGGATATTATAAACCGAACAATGTTTGATCAAAAGTTTCAAAATTATAGATGTTTGATTAAAACAATTCAAATATAAGCCATCAATATCAAAATGTTCCTAAAATTATATTTGTGTTTTTATTAAGCATTATGTATAAGTTAAATTTTATATATTAAAATATTATAAGAAATAACCTTTTTTTATTTTAACTATTTTTTTTTCTCCTGCGTTTCCATTTTTTATTTTTTAGTTAAACTCTTTTTTTATTTTTTTGTTGGGCGGGAATTTTCCCGGTTTTTTTGCACGGGGAAATGGATCGGAAGAATTGGACGTGCGAAAGAACCGAAGCATCGAAATAATAAATAGTTGCGTCGAAATAATAAGTAGTGGCGTCGGTTTTAATCGACGTAAATACTTATTATTTCGACACAACCACTTATTATTTCGACGCCTCGTATTATACGTCGGTTTAAACCGACGCAACCAGTTATTGTTTCGACGCAGGCATTTATTTCTATGCCTCGGTTCTTTCGCACGTCCAATTCCGAGGACACTGCAATTAATGTCTGTCAGAATAACGTCGGTTAAAACCGACGTCATTGTTCTCTATTTCGACGCTAGTTAGAAATGTCAGACTATAACGTCGGTTTTAAGCGACGCAATATGCCCATATTTCGAAGCCTCAGTCACATTCGCACGTCCAATTCCGAGGCCACTGCAATTACTGTCTGTCAGAATAACGTCGGTTCAAATCGACGCAATTAGCCTCTATTTCGACGCTATTTAAATCTGTCAGACCTAACGTCGTTTTGAAGCGACTCAATGTTACCCTATTTCGACGCTAGTCAAAAATGTTGCAGAGGTGGTGTGTCGCTTTGAAGCGACGTAATAGTTGCATATTTTCGACGCTAATTTTTTTGGCATATTTAAGGTTCTACGACCTATTTCCGTCTCTCTCATTTCACTCCCCATTTCAGTCCCTTCACTCCCCATTTCACTCCCTTCACTCCCTTCACTCCCTTCACTCCTATTTCCGCACTTCTTCCTTTGGTTTTGCTATGGATAGTAGTTGTGATTCTCAACGTGATGAGGAACTTCATGTGGAAGGGGAGGAGGTCGAAGCTGGTTATTTTTCTACATTATTATTGGATTCGTTTTTTTTTTTTTTTTTGTGTTTAATCTTCTATTATCCTTATAAACTGAAAGTTTACATCTGTTTCCAACTTTTTTGGTTTGTTTTAACTGTGGTTTTGTTATGAACAAGGAACTTCTCAACGGAGGCGAGGACCCTCAGTTCCCAAATGGACGAAACAGCTTTGTTCGTTTGATATGTCTGGAAAATGCGTTAGTGATAACTCTAGTGCATTTTCAAAATATGTGGCATCGGAGGTTAGAGACCACAGAATTCTCCATTGGCGAAGCATTGGCGTAAGATTAAGGATGTAGATAAGGAAGCTTTTTGGAATAGAATTAAGGTATAGGTATTTATATTTTTATTAGAAAATGAAAGAATAATTCAATGATTGTTATAATATTTGACTTGGTTGATTTATTTTTTTTATTTTTTTATTTATGGATGTAGGGAAATATTGTTTTTGAAGATGCTGATATACCAAGATTGCCTTTGATCCGCTTTATGACGCTTAAGGTTGCTGAGCATGCACATAAGGAGTACAGAAATAAGTTAAAAAAAAAATATTATACCAACAGAGCTGCAGAGGAGCGTCCCCAGCCTCCTCCTGATGTGAATCCTACCCAGTGGGGTAATTTGTTGGCATACTGGAGTGGAGATAAAACAAAGGTAAACGATGTAGTTTATTTCGTTATAACTATAAATTTGTGTAATAATTTTTTTATTTTTATTTTCAGGAGGTTGCTGAAAAAAACAAGATTAATCGGCAAAAGAAAACAATGAACCATACTACTGGTACAAAATCTTTTGCAAGAAAGCGGCAAGAATATGTATGGATTGTACCATTTGAAGAAATGTTATTTTAAATATTCAATAGTTATAAATTTTAATTTTAACGAGGTTAGCCTAAAATTGTTTGTGTGAAATTTTATTTTTGGTAAAGCGGAAGAAGCATGGGAAAGAAGCTGATCCTGTAACCTTTTTTCGTGAATGTCATACACGAAAAAATGAAGCTTGGATTGATGAAGAATCGGAGCGTACAGGGGTAATTTATTTTACTGTGTTGGTATTTCATTATTATTCAAATTTATTATCTATAGCTTATTGTTCTGTTTTACGATTGAATTTTTCTTTTTAAAAAATTGTAATGCTAGGCAACAATGGAGAGCAATCTGCAAACTTTGATTCAGTCGGGGCAAGAGGATAATGAAGATCTTAGGACCCAAGTGTATGTTGACACAATGGGTCCTGAGAGGTATAATAGAGTCAAAGGATACGGTCATGGGGTGACTCCTGATATGGTTTCCTATGCATCTTCTTCGTCTTCTACATCAATTTCC